ATTCTTATTCTTATATCAGTCTACATGTGCAGCCATATAGAAGCAGAACTTGACATGAAACTGAAATTAAAAAAAACCCTTTTCATTTTCAAGTGCAATAGCTCTAACCTAAAGAACAATTTGTTCCAAATGGTCCAGGTTGGAGAATGAGCATCTAAATAATGCAGGCAAGTTTAGAGCAGTTAAAACCGTGCCACTGCCTTTCCATGAAGTGGATGACGAAGACTGATGCCCCATTGGCAACAGTTGCATATAAAATTTGATGCGGGGTGGTCATTGGTGATTTAGGCCTTTTTAGAACAAATGTATCCAAGAGGAACCTTGTTGAGCTCCTTCAAGTTGATATAACAAACAAGACATCAACTGTAATCTCTTTTTGTTCGGTGGATTTTGGGGAACATTTGTTCATACTTGTATACAACAATCTCCTTCATCAATGAAAAGAAAATTATGCAAATTGCAAATACATTATTAGTGTACAGTTGAGTTGAGTTGAGTTGAGTTCACTCATTGCTAAAATTGAATATTGAATTATATCATCGCCAACAAAATCGTTTGTTGTCTTTCCTTAATTTGTGAGTTTTAGGGTTTCAATATTCAAAGTAAAATCCTAATGTGGTATGGTATAAGGTTAGGGGTAATTTGGATAATCTCAAATTTTGGGTTTCGAAAAAGTTCATAAATTGGACCGTTGGCGGCCCAACTCACCAGCTTTTGCCACTCAGCAGCATTTGCCACATAACACGTCGCAAAAACCCCCAATTGATTCTCAAAAATTGAAAATAATACAGAGCTCCAAAACCCAATTCATTCTTGCAACGGCAGTATACAGAGTCACACCCATGGCGGCAACACCAACTGCCTGGGGTTTATCTCCAGCCCTTCCTTCTCTCTCGTCTCCAATAACTAATTCTCATAAAACCAGTAAAGCCCTTCTTCATCCCAACTTTTTCAGACCCATTTCTTCTTCCAAGACTAACCCTGTCATCGGCCTCTCCAGGTCCTTAACCCAAGCACAAAACCCTCTCTGGTGAGTTTCCTTATCTGGGTTCCTTTCAATTTTTCTTCTTTCTTCGACTATAAAACTTTTATGCCAATCTATAACTCTTTAAAACTTTGGTTTCAGCTCAAGAATTTCCCATACGACCGCTGTAGCGCCAAAGCGTGCCTATAAGGTACTGGCTGTTTCTGGACTGTTGAATGGCAATTTTGAAACAGACGGAGAATTGGAACAGAACATTCCGAATACGGTATAATAATGATGTGATTCTACTTTATAAATTCGTTGTCTTTTTTTTATGTCGTTGATTTACTATTGCTTGTGGTAATTTATCCGAAAAAAGGGTATTACTTTTGGTCTGATTTCAAGATTTGGTTCTAAATTATTTGTGAATAGATAATTGCATTGGTAGGATTAAATAAAAATGCTCAGAAAGTTTTGAGGCCAATGTGACATATGTTATCATTTCAATGTGTGTGTATTTTGCTGTTGCTTGAATGTCTTTACTTTCTTCTTTAACTCGGTTCTGTTTCCTGCATGCTCTCCACAAAAGGATGCTACTATTGATATAAAAATCCCAAGAAGAAGCTTGCTTGTAAAATTTACTTGTGATTTGTGCGGTGAAAGAACAGATAGGCTCGTGAATCGATTGGCCTATGAGCGGGGGCTTATTTACGTACAGGTATTTACTCATCTTGTTGATTGATATAAGATTCTGTGTGGTCTGTTCCTGCTAATGATAAACCTATGAAACCTTTTCTAAAGTTTAAATTCTGTCAATTCTTTTCTTATTGAGATACATTTCTATTTATTCGTTATGTCAAACCAAAAAAAGAAAAAACATATATAAATTAATAGGATTATTTAAGTGGTCATTTCAATGTTGATTCTAGTTCTCTTAATTGAAAAGTAAGAAATTTCTTTTCGTTTATCCGACCGATTAGCACTTTCTTCTCATCAGTGTGCAGGGTGTCTCAAGCATCACAAATTAGTTGATAATCTTGGCCTTGTGGTTGAGTATGACTTAAGGAAGGATATCGATGCGGACACAGATATGGATAAAGTTTGATCTGGCATTGAATTCATTTTGCATGCTTGTTTGAGTTGTCTTCCTTGTCAAGTTACGGATGGTTGTTGGAATCCAAAAATCATCTCCCTTGAAATATTGAACACGAAGTAAATACAAAAATGCTAATATTGATGGTTCATCTTTTGCATTATTCATTCCTACATCTGGAATAATCATTTTCTTGCAATACACCTTCTTCTCAAAAAATCTTCTTGCAATATACGAATAAATTCACAGTCCGTTGTCTAAGATCTGTAAGAACTTTAGCTTCTCATTGCCAGCAGTATAGCAATTGCAAATCCAGTTGTAACCCACATTCCCGATATCCCTCCTTTCTGGTGCAGTGCATTTCCTCCATTCTATGAGACAAAAAAGAAGAAGGGTAATCCAATTTTTTTTTTAAGTAATATTAATAAAAATTGAGTTCACAGCGCATGTAAATATGGTGTTCTTGGGTCAGCAGTTCTAAGAAAGATTTAAGAACATACCAAATTCAAACTGGGTGATGGTGCCGGTGTTGTTTCCTCTGTATCTGTCACTGTAGTAGGTGGTGCTGGGGGGCTTAGTACAGTTGGTGCAGGTGCTGGTGCATGATGATGCCTCCTGTGCTTGTGCTTGTGCCTCCTGTGTTTGGGTGGAGCAGGAGCAGTTGACGGTACTAGCACTGGTGCTGCAGCTGGTGGCACAAGAACTGGTGCTGGAGCTGGTGCTGGGGGTGGTTTTGATGGTGAGGGCACTGGTGCTACCTTAGCTGGTGCTGGTGCTGGTGTCTCTTTAACAGGAGCTGGTGCTGGTGGTGCTTGAATTGGTGCTGGTACAGGAGGTGGCAATGGTGGTGGTGAAACGGGTGATGGTGGCGGCAGTGCTGGTGGCTGTGATGGAGTTGAGACAGGTGGACTTTGTGGTAGTGGGGGTGGGACTGTTGGGCTTGTGGCTGGTGCAACCTTAGGGGATGGTGACGTAGGTGTGGTTGTGGGTGGGGTT